CAAAACGTAGGTGAGGCTCCGGGGAGCCGAAGTTCCCCAGAATAGGAATACCAGTATATAGCAGTAAGTCGCAGCTGAAGACTGGTAGTGGCGATCCCGGCGACGGGGAGGAGTGCTTTTATACTCCAGGGGACAAAGATCGAAAGTTCAATGAGGGTAGGGTGGTCAAAGTCTGAACCAGGGAAAGGGGTACTGCGTCGTAGTAACGCAGTTGGTCTTTAATCTATTTTTAGCAAAAACCAGTAATCATTATTTGATATATTACGCGATAAGACAGAAGTATTTCTCAAGGCCCTAGCTGTTTTAAGATGCTCTTGGTCTGTGTTGAACGTCACCACTGGAACCTGGTTTCTGGATTTTGGCTCTCTCAAATTACGGTGAGGTGCCTGGCCCAAGAAAACATACCCCTAGTGCGATATTGCGGTAAAAGAATATGAAATAATCAGCCAGCGCACCGACTGTCGGTATGAAGATGCATTTTTTTGCACAGGTTTTTATCGCTAACAGCACTAGCACTGTTTTTTTTTTCGGAAGATGCTTCTAACTAAAAGAATTGAGACCGGCCATCACGATTGTGGGAGAACATTCCCTTAAAATTTCAGCTTTTTAGCTTTTCTGATTCCAAACTTAGCAACTTACTCACCGAAAATTTTCGTGAGCCCATACGTGGGAGCGCATGGGCAAAACTGTCTACTGTTGGAATAGGGGCCTTTACATGCATGCACATTAAGTTCCCAAAGTTTCAGCTTTGTGCCTTTTGTAAGTCTCGAGATGAAAAATCGGTACAGACGCATACACACACATACAAATAACCCCTCGACAATAAGCGTTTTTGCATTGCATAGATGCAAAAAACACATAAAAACAAAAAAAAAAAGAAAAAATTACCACTCGTTCAGGTTTTTTAAATTCTTTGATATCTGGAACGACCATCCATTTGCCATTTGGGCCATCGACTATGCGAACATAGGGTGGTTGCACCTTCCGGATGACATTCGTTTTTTCATTCTTTTTTTTCTTT